TTTCACGTATAGACAATCGTAACTTTCCTCAAAGATAACATTTAACCGGCGAAAATTTGGTGACTCTTGAATGTTCATACGTCGCTCTTCCATAGCAAGGCAGCATTACGCTGCTGTGCTAGGGAAAAACGCCGTATGGACCTTCAGGCGTTGCTAAATTTCCTTCGACAAATCACTAATTTTCAGGAGAATTTGTGAATATTTTTCTTCCAATTTCTCAGATAATTTTGTTTGTAATTTGATCTAAAGTGTCTGAAAATTTCAAGGAAAAATATTCATAACTTTTCTCAAAAACGAACATTTAACCGACGAAAATTTGCTGACTCTGGAATGTTCATACGGCGTTCTTCCTTAGCAAGGCAGCATTACGGCTCACCCTCCATTAATCATGTTTTGGTGATGCAAATGGGCGTATTTCCATCAAACGAAACTATGTGCATTATGACGTGAGCCCTGTTATGCACGAATTCTTATGGGTCTCGGGGCTCATGTCTTAATGCACATAGTTCCGTTTGATAGAAATACGTCCAAATATGAATTCGAATTAGGGTGGGAGGAATGAACGGGAGATGAATCCTCCGCGACTGAATGATTCATGTTTTCTGCTTCTTATTTTTATTTTTTTGTATTTTTTATTTTTCGACGGTCGTAGACCCGTGTTTTGTCTGCTAACTTCCTTTCTCCGAACGCAGTTTCCTTGAATCGTTGACAATGGTCTCCCGTCTGCGCGAGAATGCGGATATCTTCAGAATTTGGGAAGAAAGAACGCCAAAAAACCTCAACCTCAGCTTGTCGTAAAGTCGTCTTCAGTGCCGCAACAAATTTATTTAAAATAATTCTTTGTAGATTTTGGAATCTGCTGAGGACCGCCAGAATGGGTTATAGAGTTCAAGCACCTCATGACACGTCTAATCCAGCTCCATAAAATAGCTGGGGTGAAAATTGTATTGCTCCATCCGAGAGTGCCTAATGAGCTGAGTTCGCAGTATTTTTCATAATTTTTTTATGACATGGGAATTTGGAGAAAAATTTAAAAGTGAGAAAATGCGCCGCCTTAAGACGTCGTCTGGCGGCATTTTCCATTTGAACACATGTATTTTAGCAAATCATGTTATTTTGTCATATTTTCTCTAAAATAATTGTCCAATTTTGAAAACAAGAATATCCTCGTACTCAGTTTTCTTAGTGGTATCATTTTCAAGATGAAATTCACAAAATTTAAGACACCTGCAAATTCTCTATTCCGACAACATTAAATGAGATATTAGTAAACTTCCATGATCAACTACTCAAACTTTTTTGATACTGAAAACATTTAATACTGAGAGTACTGGAAAAAAAGTCGTATGAAACCAGAGTTCAGACTCTTAAAAAAATTGTTAAGGAAAAATATTCTTAGTTCAATCGGATTCTGTTTAAATCAAAAGGAAATTCTTTTCAATTAAGAGGAGTCAAGAGTATTTTTCTTGTCTTTTTTTAAGATACTGGACTTTGGATTCAATTGACTTTTTTCAGTTTTAAAGTTACGACTTCAAGAAACATCGCTTTCAATAGAGTTGCAGGAAGTCGTCTTGCGAAAATCTTCTGTGCCAAACAAGAAACGCGTAGTTCACAAGGAGACTTAATGAATGATTCCGACGTTTTGAAGTAAATTTTTACCGCGAGCAAGCCCCACACCGAAAAAATTGTTCCCTCATTTTAATCATCGAAATCATGAGAGGAGTTCATGGTGCAGTAGGACCGTTCCGCCATTGTCTTTTCCTTTGCACATTAATCCGGCGTAAATTCAACAAACGGAAGTAAATAAAGAAAAACAGAGACAGAGGAGAGAGGGCGACGAATTATCCTTAGACTCTCCGTCGTGAATAGGGGAACAATGAGAAAATGAGTGGGAAAGGGCGGTTTTGCGATTTAGTTCACTGATCGTAAATCAAAAACTACGAGTATTTAATAATTGCAAAAAAATAATAGCGTCCTATTCCCATCTCAACGATGGATCGCGTTCCGCATCTTTTCTGCGAGGCAACTTTCCCTCTTCTCATATTTTCCGGATTTTGCCCTTACGGCGTTGCCATTTTTTTAGCAGATGGGCACAGTATCGATGTGCTTTTAAAATCATTTTCAATTTCCGATTAAATATGGTTGTGCCCCAATGGATTAGGTATGACTAAACCAAATGCTGCGATACGACCCACACTTAAGTTGCAGTCCCACCACAATTAATTGAAAATGTTCTCATATCATCCAAAAAATTGGGGTGGTATGTACTACAATTATTGAGGCCCTGGGTGCAAGAAGAGCATTTCTTAGATGCGGGTTCTCAAAATCTCCACTAAAGTTTCATCCATTACGATTCAAGCAAATTTATGTAATTGAGAATTTGCAAGTGTCTGAAATTTGATATATTTCGTGTTTAAGTAGTGGAAACTACGGAGTGAACTGAACACGAGGATATCCTTGGTTCATGAATTGAATAATTATTGTAGAAGAAATGACAAAATTATATAATTTGCTAATTATCTCAAATACGTGTGTTTAAATGGGAAATGCCGCCAGATGACGTATCCAGGCGATGCATTTTCTCACTTTTAAATCTATGTTTAACCTACGTCCCATATCAGAAAGAAAATATAAAAAATATTGTCATATTTTAAAATACTGTGAAAGCTCTTTAAGCAATTTCAGATGAAGCAATAAAAATTTGCATGCCAATTCTCCATTCGTTGTAACTTTTACTGAATTTTCTTCATGATTTTGCAATGCTGAAAACGTGAAATTTCAGAAAATTCATCCATTAAGTTCTGCTTCAATATATAAATCATCACTGGAGATTTTGAGACACCGCAACCGATTGATGCCCTCTCCCAGATAAGACAGAAATATTGCGCCAATATTTAAACAATATTGTTTGGATATTTATGCAGACATTGGGCCAATATTGGTTAAATATTGAGCCAATGTTAAAAGTGTACACCATATTTCCTTTTGGCATAAATACTGTGCCAATATTTTAAAATACTGTGAAATACCGTGAAAATATTTTTATAATATTTTGGGTAGACACATTATTTTTAAAAGTACTAAATAAAGATTCTTTAAATATTTTTTTAAAAAATAATTTTGATCAAAATATTATCAAAATAATGTCAGTATTGTGTAAATATTGCGACAATACTGACAATATTTGCCCAATATTGTAAAAATATCATGTCTTATCTGGGCTTTGAACCCGACCATTCAATTTTAAGAGATAGCCCCGAAAATTTTTTTGTTTGGTGGTTTAGATTTTACTCGAGGAATGACAACATGGAGTCCGAACAGGATCTCGCATAACGTTCGTAACCCCTGCTTTCCAAAAAAGGACATCGAGAGGGGGGGTGGTAGAGCGAGGGGGAGGGGGGCCGCTTTCACCGAGATTAAACCCTCCGCAATCCCTCATAACAAGAGAGGTCCAATCCGGGGCTCCAAGTCATCCTTTGAGCGTTTTTAAATGATGAGGATCCCCTCGTTCGAAGGGGCAGTGGCGTTGTAGGGGCTGGCGGAAAGTTCCCGGGGGCGGGGGGAGGGGGATGATTTAAGACGATGGCTCAACTTTCGCCGAGCTTAAAGTTCCAGCTTTCAGGATGATTAAGCCGTATCAAATCCGGTTGGCTGCCGCCTCGGCGAATTTTTCAGCTATAATTTTATTTGTCGGTCAGGAAGAGGAAGCGCTCATATTTTTCCCGTCCGACGACTGTGCTTTTATTGACCGGCGAGTCGAATCCCAGCTCGGGAAGTTTGGTTTCGGAGCGCTTTCGTCGGTCTTTTTTTCGCCTGAGAAAGATTGACTTTTTGACACTGGGTCATTTGCGCTTATTGCATACACTGAGAGAAATTTTGACACAGAAGTTTGGTTGATGCGGGAAGTAAAACACAAAACAACCCTAGCCATCGGTTGGCAATTTCAAGAGAAAACTCAAGATAGTTTTCATGAGGAAATTTAATGAAAAACGTCTTTATTCCAGCTGAGAAAGATTGACTTTTTGACACTGGGTCATTTACGCTTATTGCATGTACTGACAGAAATTTCAACACAAAAGTTTGGTTAATGCGGGAAGTAAAACACGTAACAACCCTACTGCCGTGCTAAGGAAAAACGCCGTATGAACCTTAAGGCTTTGCCAAATTTCCGCATATAAAACACGAATCTCCTGGTACATCGATGAATATTTTTCTTTCAAAGTTTCAGAGAATTTTGTTCGTATTTTGATCTAAAGTTCCTGAAAATTTCAAAAATAAATATTCATAACTTTCCTCAAAAATAAACATTTTAGCCAAAGAAATGTGGAATTTAAAATTTTAAAAAAATTTTTAAAAAATTTACAATTTTAAAACTTTTAAAAAACTTTTAAAAACAAAGAAATGTGGCAATTCTCGATTGTTAATGCGGCGTTTTTCCTTAGCACGTTAGCTCAGCCCTCGGTTGGCAATTCCAAGAGAAATCACCAGCTAGTTTTCATGAGGGAATTTGATGAAAAACGGAATTCCAAGTATTTAATACTAAATACCAGATTTTTTTACCTCCAATTCCCCTTGCAACGCACCCGTCATGCAAGTTCACATTCTCTTAAAATTATACAAACACGACTCTTGACCCTATTCTCTCCAGAAGTGGGAAAATCACTGGTGACCTCGTGGTTTTCCTTTAACTGTTTTGTTCATTAAATAGCGTAAAAAAGTGATATGAAGTGAAATTCCGTTGAGTTGCTCATGGTTAAACGTTGATAGTGTGAGTGTGATTAAAACAAAGTGTTAGAAGTAAAATACTACATGGACATTTCGTCTTGCGTTCGGCATAAAAGCGGTTGGTCGCATTATTTCTTGTTAATTCAGTTAGCAGAAAAAATAATGGCGTTTAAAAAATAATTTTTTATGTAGAATCTCATCGCTTTTTATTAATCTTAAGAACTAACATCATACCCTCCTGGCATTCCGATAAATTCTATTTTTTAATTTTTCAGGACAGATTGACGGCTTATTCCTGAGACTCCAAAGAGAGTAAGTCGATTTTCTGAGCTTAAATTACTAATGTTTTATTTTAAGATTGCATGCATGAAATCTTTAAATCAATACTTGCCATCAGGAATCGATTTTAAAGACACTGAAATATCAAATTACTTGCTCCTCTCTGTTCTACAACTTGATTAAATCCTCAATTTTTTAGAATGAACAAAATTTCCTAACGCTTTCGTGGCCCAGCTGAATTTGGCATGGTGGTGATAATGGTTCATATTCCGTCTGCTGTGATTCATTCGCACTGCGTAGTAATGTCAGAAGTCCCTGAGGTATTATTTGACAGCAGTCTCATTGCTGTCAAAATTTGTGGCTGAGTGAATCATAACTGGAATATTGCATGACTCACTGGTTATAATCGTTGGAGACTATTCGTAAAATGAAAGATTTAAATAAATAATAAAGATAATTGGCTATGTGTGTCCACGTTGGTTGGAGGGATTTCTGTTATTTCAGTTTGAGAAAACATTTCAGTTGTGATGAGATTTAGTGTGGGATTTTGGAGTAAGAAGTCAATGATACCTAACAAATAAAGTGGATTGAGGGAGAGAGTAAAATGAACGAGAGTAAAATGAAATATTTTTGCGATTCTCGTCATTCACGAGGAACCGAATTTTTCATCTCATCTGCGTTGAGTTATCACTCAAAATAATAATGAAAACATATTACTTAAAATTGATGGATTGTAGGTATTTTAATTGTTCTTCAAAAAGTTTGTAGCATACAGCGGACCATTACGAGTTCATGCCTCGCGCCATCGCGCCTTCAATTTTGCAGAGGCAACACGCACATCCATCAAGCACGAATAGTTGTATCTCGGCACTAACCTAGAGTTGGGTTAGTGCCGACATACAACTATTCGTGCTTGATGGATGTCCGTGTTGCATTCACAAAATTGAAGGCGCGAGACATGGAGTCACATTTCTCCATTCGATGCTGCCAATGCGGTCCCGTGATTAGAAGTATGTCATGTGGTGCGACTCTACTCCCAACATGAAGCTCTGTAACCAGTATTTAAATAAAATCGAACCGTGTTAAGCAGAAAGGAAACAAACTACATCAGCTATTGCCAAATTTAATGGGGCAATTTAATTTTTTTTATATGAGAACGGTTGTGCAGAATTTCGAGCAAATTTCAGTGAATTTTCTGCATAGTACTAAGCGAATCCCCGAAAATGTTCAAAGGAATCCGCGCAAACGTTCTCTTATTGAAAATTAAATTATCAAATTTAACCGGGCAATTTAATTATCTACAAAAAGAAGTGCGGATTTCTTTGAAAATTTTCGGGGATTCGTTCAGTACTCTGCAGAAAATTCACTGAAAGTTGCACGTAAATCCGCACAACCGTTGTCACGTAAAAAACTAAATTGCCCATTTAAATTTGGCAATAGCCGATGTGGCTTGGTTCCTTTCTGCTTAACAAGATCTGATATCATATAAATACTGGTCGCAGACCTTCATGTTGGGAGTAGAGCCGCACAGCATACACATACTTCCAATCACGGGCCCGCATTGGCAGCATAGAACGGAGAAATGCGACTGCATGTCTCGCGCTATAGCGCCTTCAATTTTGTAAATGCAACACGGACATCTATCAAGCACGAATAATTGTATCTCGGCCCTAACCCAACTCGAGGTTAGTGCCGAGATACAACTATTCGTGCTTGATGGATGTCCGTGTTGCATTTCCAAAATTGAAGGCGCATAAAAAATCTGCACAACCGTTCTCATGTAAAAACTAATTTGCCCCATTAAATTTGGCAAAAGCTGATGTGGCTTGGTTCCTTCCTGCTTAACACGTTCCGATTTTATATAAATACTGGTCACAGACCTTTACGTCGGGAGTGGAGCCGCACAACATACACATACTTCCAATCACGGGGCCGATTCTTTTCTCACACCCAATAAAAGCGTCGCTCGAACCCTCCCTCGAGTCGGACGCCGGGAT